CATCAAATCATAGCTTTTGAAAACTGAGAACAATTTTACTGAAGTATAAAGAATTGGATGGATAATATGTTCAAAAAGGAAAGACGAAGAATTTTTGCACTGATACTGTATGTGCAAATTTAGATAACCGACTAGAGATCTACAGTTGTTTCCGCTTTTTTTTGTTTTTTAAATTAGTCTGCAAATGTGCTGCTTCTTCTAGTTTTCTTGTGTTTAGAGCTTTCAATAGTAGCTTTTTGGTGACTAGTTTGTTTGTCCTTGGATACTGTTACTACATTAAACACTAATTTTTAAGCGTCAAACAACAGCAAGCGAAAAAGTTAACTGTTAAATCCAGTAAATTTTTATCAGTTAATTGGGAACAACAGCGCAAATTTTTTTGTTCAATAGTTCAGAAATTTTTTATTTTTTTGTTCTTCTAGTTTGCATGGTAGAAGTAGATGCAAGTTTCTCCTTTTTTTTCACACTTTTTGATCCAGGTATTTTGGCACAGTATTTCCTACCTTTTCTTTTTTCACCTTTTCTATCGGTTTTTCTTTGGGGGAGAATCTCATAAATTTACTGTTCCAAAACTTAAGGATAATTTTTGGCTGAAAGGCAGAAGAAATTTTGGAAATGGTTAATGGAACTGTTGAGCTGTGATTGTTATAAGAAGAAAAAGAAGAAGTAAGTGAAGAGCAAGACTAAATTTTTGTTACCGTGATAGAATATAGATTCGGGGCGTGGTGACACTAAGCACAAATGATTTTCCATATCGCGATTTGTCGTTTCAGATTCGCGTTGTTAAAGCCTTCCAAGCAGGTCTTGACCGACGTGAGCCCTCACTGAGCGGCCCAAGTGCAGCGCGACTCCGAGAAATAAGTCGCCAATTAAGGTTACAGCAACAGCTTGAACACGAAGGTAACTGAAATCAACTCGTACACTCTTATTTTGTTCACTTTTGTAGGTTTGACAAATCAGCAGCAATTTTATTTTATAATACTTATATTTAGACTGCGCTAATGGTTAAATAGAGATGATTTTTAGGAGCAGGTTCATCTGGCGCTCCACGCTTATCACGGCAGTGGAAACAAAATGAATCTATGTCTCTTGTATGAGTTGAGGGAGGACAAGTGACGTCTACTCTTTCGAAAACACGAAAGAAATTGATTTTTTAATTTGTAGTTATTATCTATAGGCTTTATACTTCTCCTACTTTCGTTTTTTTTTTTTTTTTTTTTTTTTTTTTTTTT